TTTAAAATATATAAGTAAATATATATATATATATATATATATATATATATATATATATATATATATATATATATATTCCTAAAGGTTTGAAAGATGTACTCTTACCTCCAGGTCCTTTCGAATGTTTTCAAACTCCTCAATGTCATCAAGCTTCAGTTCCAGGCGGGTCGGTTTTCTTCGCAGCATACTGAAATCAACACTAAGAGCCAGACCCAGTGAACTACTAGCTGTTAAAAATGGCAGAGAGGAGGAAAACCTGAAGGGGATAAATCTCAGCTACAAATATAAGATCAATTTGTAAGCACGCATGCTAAAATGAATGGCAAATAAAAGACTCATTTGAATTCACACATAGACTTCTAAGTCTTTTGGTGTCTGATTATTATGTTTTTACATGATGGAGATCCACAACTCTATCACTCCAAAAAAACTGTTTCCTCAAGAATTTTAAATAGCAAGCTGCCTATAAAAGAATTCTAGGCAACAATCTCTTTAATCTCATGACCCAGTCACATTCAAAGACATATTCTGGCTAAGAGAATAATGTTAAAATATCACATCTGAATGCAGTGCTGTTATGGGACAGAATACAAGCCATTAAATTTTATCAACTCTACATGAAATTTGTAAGAGATTTGTGATCACTCCTGAATGCTAAAATCAGTTTAGTAAATCTTGTGAAAACTCCCTCTAACTCACCAATTCACAGGGTTATCTTCAGGGTCTAAATAGGTCCTCAATGTATAGGGAGGGCATTCATTAAACATACACTTCTGGTGCTCCAGCTGCAGAGTTAAAAGGCACAGTCACCGTCTGTAGGAAAAACAAACATGTAAACAGAAAATTGCACATAGTGTACTAAGAACTCTGATGTAGGTAATGCAATGGTATCACACAGGCCCAATCCAGTCTGAATGTAGGGCGGAGACATGAAGGACTTCCTGGAGGAGATGTCTTAGTTGACTTGGGAATGGCAGGTAGAGAAAGGAGATTAAAGGCATACCCGGCAGAGAGAACAAGGGTGCAAAGAGGCTCAAGAGAACACCCCAGTCTGAAAACCCAAGGTAATACTTATGCTAACAAAAAACATTTTTTAGAGAAAAAAATAAAACTCCTGCACTGAGTTTAAAATCTGTTGATGACATCTTTACATTCTCCACAAAATCCAGTAGAGTGTATCTGTAATAACCAGGCAGTAAATGTTTTGTTGAGTAAACCAGAGATTCAAATAAAGTGAAATGAACTTTCCTTGGGCGCTACAGTGTGTTTTTCCATTCCCATTCTTTACATTTCTATTTTAACACGGAAACCCTCTGATGCTGGCAAAATTACCCGTATTTTACAGATGAAGCCAAAGCTGGTCAGTTTGGTTAACAAATGAGAATGATGTAAGTGAAAGCTCCTTTATTTATAGATATAAATTATTATTACATGTATCTAGGATGTAGCTAGGGGCTGAAGTATAAAAAGAAAATGTTTCCCTCCCATGAAGCTTGGGTTAGACACAGGTGGTATTATCAACGCCAAACACTAGCACATTACATTTCAAACTGCTTTGTACTAAATCAGATACTATTTTTATTCCAATGTAGGTAAATGGTACGGGAGCCAAAGTTCGGGGGGAGGGGGAGATGCTTAAAAGAAAACCACTAGTTTGCACTGTCTTAACTGTGAAAAGCTCGCCAGCCACTAGGAAGCGGTATAGGGTAATGGGTAAAAATACTTGCTCTGGAGGCAAACGGGCAGAGGATCTAACAATCATCTACTGTTTATCTTGCACAATTAGCTTCATCTTCCACTAGATCTTAGTTTCCGTATTTGTACTGTTCTTGTATGGATTGAAGTAAATTCCTGGACTCCAACCTGGCATTTAGTAAATGCTCAATAAATAACAGTCATTATTATTATTTTAACTGTTCTTGTGGAGAGGGACGGGAAACACTCCTGTCCCGCTCGGGAACACCAGAATCTTGAGCATCTCCATCCCCGACATGAGGGCAAAAACCTTGTCTTGTTCCTCTCCGATGCCCCAGCACCCAGCGGACCACAGAGCCGTGGCAGAGTTGTTTGCGTGTACCCGATGCCTCACATCCATCATCTCACTCGAAATCTAATACAAACACCAGGATGAACAACAAAATCAGGCCGTGGCTCCTACGCCAGGTCCTTATTTTACTTTGGCGCTAGAGGACTCTCGGAGCTTAATCGCTAGAGGACTCTCGGAGCTTAATCGCTCGCTGCTGCCCAAATCCACCGCAAATTCACCCAGCTCAGAGGGAGCCCCTGGGAGAGAACCCTACAACGGAGAACAGCTTGCTCTACCGCCGCTAGCTCCAGGATAGCATTCAAAGGGTCTAAGGCAAGGGTTTCCATAGCAACATAGTCCCAGGTCTTGGACGATGTCAAGCAGCTCGTAGGGCCGGGAAGGAAAGCAGGCCCCGGAAGCCCTCGATTCGCCCCGGAGTGCAGCTTGGAGCCACGCGACCCGACGCACCTACCTCTTCACAAGCCTGCTCAGCCCCTTCCTGGAACCTCAGTGCCCACTACGCATCTAAGCCAACTGGACTACACTTCCCAGACTGCTCTGAGCCGCTCTCCTCGCAGAACCTCGACCTTCGCGTGCGTTTCTCGGAGGCTTTACAGGTCACACCTCTCGTCGCGGCCACAATCTTTCCTACTACGATTCCCATCATGCTCCACGCCTTCCCGGACGTTGAGTCCCACTTGGCCCACTTCCGGTTCCTCTTTGCTGGGCGCGCGGTGGATTGTCTGAAACGCAGAGTTCAGCTATCGCTGGGACTTCGCGGCTCCAGAGCCCAGCATGTCTTCCTCACGAGCCACCTCCACGGTACAGATCTGAGCTCACCCTGGCAGGGAGCGCAGAGGGGGTGAGGGGATCCCTGCGGGAAGGGACGGCATAAGGCGGTGGAGGGCCGAGGAGGAAGGCTGCGAGACTCGGTCTTAGAGAGCGGAGCAGCGTTTTCCTGATTCTTAAGCGCTTTCATGTGCTTAAGCTCAATTGCATCTCTCGTATAGCCGCGAACGGTCAACACCTGTTCCGACTGGTCCAGAAGCGGAGCTCTGAAAGGGAGTAGTGTCCTGGCCAAGATTTATGTCCGTGTCAGACTTCTTCATTGTAATAAGGCCTCCAAACTACCTATCTAGTGCCTCTCGTCTGAAAACGTTTGAAATGTATAGACCAGTAACTTGGCAACCTGCTCCCTTTAACATCGAATTGGTTATTTCAGATTCCTTTATATTTCCCCTGTGATGAGCAATAACCCTGGACGTTTAATTAAACCCAGCAAAAAATTGCACTTCCAACCGAATGAATTGAATTAAATTCCAAAGCAAACCTTTGATAGAAAAACACCAAGAGAAATTCAGGAGTTTTATCAATAGCCTCTTTCTGTCTGAGACACTGAACACCTCCACCCAAACCCCCATCAATGAAGACAAATCTTAACTGGTGCTCTCTTCCTTGTCCTTTCCTTTGGGGAGGAAATAAAACTGAAGCTCAAAATGAGCTTCATCCTTTGGGGAAACTAGCAAATTGCTAAGATGAAGCCTTAGGTTAATCGAGGTCTTTGATTTAGCAGGCAACCAAAACCAAGGCACCTGATGACTTAGTCGCTCCTCTTGTGAAGAAACCACACATCTATTATGGAAGTTTGGAAGAGAAGGAGAGGGAGCGTCTGGCCAAAGGAGAGTCTGGGATTTTGGGAAAAGAAGGACTTAAAGCAGGAATTGAAGCAGGCAATATTAACATAACCTCTGGTAAGATGCAAATTGTGAATTCATCTTTATCTTTGGTGCTCAAATTTTCTGCAATGAATATCTTCCTAGACTTAAATATCACTAGTTTTATGATAAGTGTCAAAAATTTCAGGTTTTTTTTTAATTAGTTTCAGGTGTACAAAACAGTGCAATGGTTATACTTTTTACCCCTCACAAAGTGGCAATCCCCCCCCCCAAATTTCAGTTTTTAAACTTACGTCTGTATATGGCCATACTTTGCCTACCCTGCTTAGCATCATCCAGAGAGCCTTTTGCTTAACACCTTTTAAACAGTTTTCTTCCATGAATTGTTAGTGATTTTACCAGGAATTTATTCAGTGAGCATAGCTGACTCTTGAACAACACAGGTTTGAACTTTGCGGATTCACTTATATGCAGATTTTTTCAATAAATACTGTAAGTTTATTTTCTCTTATGATTTCCTTAACATTTTCCTTCTCTAGACTATTATAAGAATACAGTATACAAGTACATTTAACATACAAAATATGTGTTGATCTACTTTATGTTATCGGTAAGGCTTTCAGTCAACAGTAGGCTATTAGTAGTTAAGTTTTGTGGGACGTCAAAAGTTCTATGCAGATTTTCAACTGCACAAGGGGCCCCCCCACCCACCCCTGCATCATTCAGTAGTCAATTGTATTTGCATTCAAACTGATTCCATTTGTCTTCTGGAGATCTAGCACAGTTCTGGCATTGGTTTGGAACTACTGTGGTTCATAATATTCTGTTTTTAGTTTTCCATTTATTTTTCTCCCAAAATATATTTTTTTTAATTAGAAAAATATTAGTTATTTTTATTTTGAAACATATCAGTGTAGAAATGTGTGAAGTAGAAAAAGCTTTAATCCTTATTGAGTCTGTATCTTTCTAAGAATTTAATAAAGCTATAAAAATACATACATAATTTTTTTCCATAAGTGAAGCCATGATACACAAATTGTTTTGTAACCTGCATTTTACACTCTATACCGTTGAGGATATTTTTCCAAGTCAGTAACTATCATCCACTATATGTTTTAAATAAAATTACACATGTTTGTAATAAATTCAAACAGTACAGAAGTGGATAAAATGAAGAGTTCTCTGCAGAAAGGACTTCTGTCAAGTTTCTCATTGATCCTTGCACACATTTTTTTCCCCTACGCACATGCACTTTAGCGACTTTTTTAACCTTTGATGCTGTTTTAAACATAACTGCATCACCACTATACTTATCACTTTTCATCCAAATGCTTGCATTTAGTGTAAGCTTTTTAACTAGCTGCTAGAGGATCCAAAGAGCCTTATAGTCAAGGAATATCATTTTCATGGTAATTATTTCCAATTTACTAATTTCATTTGTAAGTGTCCCCATACTGGGACTGTTTTAGAGAATAACTTTGTCAATTGTTAAAATAATGTTTCTATTTTATCTTCTGCATAGAAGGCCTAGTTAACTCATTTGCTAAAGATACTCCATATTCCTTACTTTCTGGTCTCATCTAAACTATGTGTTGATGTAGGTATATATAGGTGTAAGGTTGCCAGATGAAACAAATGGCTTGAGCCATTTTGCAGCCTTTTAAAGCTGTGTCATTTAGTTTTTTATGTGTGGCATACCGTATTTGCCGGCGTATAAGACGATTTTTTGGCGCTGAAAAATATGCCTCCAAGTGGGGGGTCGTCTTATACGCCAGGTACACTTCAGATAGACTGCCCATAGTGCTTGCCCCGTGCCATAGTGGCCTCCCAATGCCCGCCCACTTCATTCCACATACCGTTCAGGCATCAGCAGCGCTGCTGGGTGTATGCTCGGCTGTTATGCGATTTTGCTGTTATGCGATTTTACCACACTCGCAAAATCGCACACAGCCGACCATATAACAAACTCTGTATTTTGAGTGGAAATGTTAGGGGGTCGTCTTATACGCCGAGTCGTCTTATACGCCGGCAAATACGGTAAGTTAATAAACGGAGAAACTTAGTGTGTAATAGATTAGACAGTTAACTTTCACGAAAGGCATACACATACTGCAATTGTAAAAAATTATTATTTTTTTTTATTTGAAGAAAATCTGGTGATTATGCTAATGTTGCCTGTTCTTTTTATAGGAGAAGTGTTTGAAATTGAAGAGCACATCAGTGAGCGGCAGGCGGAAGTATTAGCTGAGTTTGAGAGAAGGAAGCGAGCCCGGCAGATCAATGTTTCCACAGACGACTCAGAGGTCAAGGCTTGCCTTAGAGCCTTGGGGGAGCCCATCACACTTTTTGGAGAGGGTCCTGCTGAAAGAAGGGAAAGGTACCCTTTCTAAATATCTAACTCTCTTCGTTTTTTAATCACAGGATTCTGTTTCCAAAGTTATGTTGTTATTTGTAGCAAAAACTTCAATAGAATGTCTCAGCTATTGTTAACAGAATATCTTAAGTTGTGTTTATATAGTTCAACTCATAATCTGAATCTTAGACCAATTTTTACTCCACTACTGATTTTTCTTCATAAACTGAAAGGGATGTTAACATGTTTCCTCTCCCCTTCTCAATGTGTAACTTTGAGTTGGGTAAACATTTGTAGTAGAACTTTGAAAATTTAGACAACAGGAACATTCCTTGTTAGTGACATGAAACATAACGGTACGTGTTTTTTGGATATTACTGAAAAGGGGCATTGTCCTCAGATAATGCTTCTCTTGTGATTTTAAAGTTGCAAAGCTCTTGGTGACAGGCTAGTCATACGCAGTTATGAGGTTATGAGGCCCTCCTCTTGGCTTTCTATCCACTGACCTACTTTCCCCATTATCTTTTTTTTTTTTTTTTTGGTTTGCATAATCCATATGTTTAATCACTTTAAAACCTTTAACATTCTCTCATGTCCATTAAATAGAACGAACAATGTTGGGCCCGTTTAAATTACGTGAAAAAAAACACCACTTCTCTTGTACTCCATGCTTCAGCCATACTGAACTATTTGTGATTCCAAGCTGAACACACTTCTTACCTTCAGACCTTTACATATGTTGAACCCTCTGCCTCAACAGTCCTCTCCCATTCTTGACCTATTGACCTGACTAAATGATGACTCAGGTTAGGCAACACCTCTATGAAGCCTTCCCTGAACCTCCCTCCAAACCAAGGTTAGGTACTCCTTTTATGATCCCCCTTAGCACCGTATACTTAACCACTGTAATAATACTTAGTATAATGTACTATAGTATAACTGCTCCCTGTTACTTTCTGTCCCCATGCCTGCCCCCCACCCCAGGACTATGCTACTTGAAATCAAAAACTGTTTCTTAGTCATTGTTGTATGTTGAGCACCTGAGTCAGTATCCAGCACATGTGACATTGAGTGAAGGTTGTTCTGTCTCCACACATCAACTGATAGCAACGTATGGGCTAGTTAGCTCTAGGTTGAATAGGGTAATTGCATCTATCAATAGTTCAATTTAGGGAATCTTCAAAATTAAAAAGATTGAGTGAAAGAAATTACACTGGAAAGTTTGAGTACAACATCTTGACTCTTAAAGAAGGTTGCTTGGAGTTTGAATGGTGAGAGAGAAGAGGAAGCGTGTCTCCCTTCTTAGATGTACTTTCCAAAATCTCAACTCTGTCTAAATTTCGATCTTTTTTGTTACAGGTTAAGAAATATCCTCTCAGTGGTTGGTACTGATGCCTTAAAAAAGACCAAAAAAGATGATGAGAAATCTAAGAAGTCCAGAGAAGAGGTAAAATATGCTTTTGCCTTCATAATATAAACATGAAGAGAATGAGGGACAAGTTCTCTCAGGATGTGGGTGGAGGTGGAGGGCTGTTTTTGAAGATTCTACTATTCAGGAGTAGTTGGTGGCAATAGTTTGTGGTTCCTGTGTAGATAGAAATGGAGATTAGGGAGTTTCCCATTCAGGAAAAAACCATAGCATTCCTGGTGTAAGTTTTAATAAGGAACCAGAAACCATCTAATAAGACCTCACAGAAAGAAACGCAAGAGAAAACATATATGCCTGATTTCATCCTATTGCTGAACTAATTCACCTTTTTCTGGGTAGTTAGAATAGGGAATTGACAGCTATGAGTGGGACAGGAATGCATCAGACTTAATATTTCTGCTCTTAATTTAACTTTCAGTACCATCAAACCTGGTACCATGAAGGACCAAACACTCTGAAAGTTGCTCGACTGTGGATTGCTAACTATTCACTGCCCAGGTAAGGAGAGCCTCAGGGAGGAGAAAGAATCATAATTGTTCTTGTTTCCTCTCAAGCACTGAGGATCTGCTTTATGACTGTGTTTTTTAGATGAAATTGAGTGGTCTTAAGGTACTTGTGTGGACCCCTCGTCTACAACCCGTTTGCTCATGATGGTCATGTTTGTGTGTCACAGGGCCATGAAACGCTTGGAAGAGGCCCGTCTCCACAAAGAGATTCCTGAGACAACTAGGACCTCCCAGATGCAAGAGCTGCACAAATCTCTCCGGGTAAGATGCTCTCAGCAATTGTCCCATATTTAAAGGTTCTTAAATATTTATTAGATTTGCTGCTTTGGCCCACCTCTAGGACGGTAAAGGCAGCTATAATTATTCCTCCCTGCTGGCAGTGTTGCCATTGGGGAGGTGCCATCAGTAGGTGGCAGGAACCTACTGTGCTTTGTACTTGTAAGAGGCCTATGATTCTCCTCTTGAATTCTTCTCTTTAATGTGTCAAAGCTGTGCCTTAGATCTCTCCATAGTTTTCCTGTTTATATTTAGCTGACACAGGAGCTAGTGATACTAAAGCTGTAGAAGACAGCCTGCTGGGGCTGCAGATAAGCCTTGACTCCATTCATTCATCAATATAAGTGCCTTCTAACAACGGGTCGGGAAGCATAACAGAATCTTGGGTTTTATTAACACTGTAAAGTTGCTTTTTTATAGCAGAAAAGCCAAGAAACTCTTGGATTAGCTCATTGATGATCACTGTTTGTCTTTTTTTTTTAAGTCTTTGAATAATTTCTGCAGTCAGATTGGGGATGATCGGCCTATCTCCTACTGTCACTTTAGTCCCAATTCCAAAATGCTGGCCACAGCTTGTTGGTAAGTTATATTTTACTGTGCCTTTTTTTTTTTCCTAAATGGGGAACGGGTTCAGGGGGGGAAAAAATCAGCATTTGTCTTAGATGTCTTTCTTTTTTTTTAGATGTCTTTCTATATCCTCTTCCTCTACTTCTCATGATCACACCAAACTAGAGGTGCTACTGCTCTTCTTGTTCTATTATACAATAAAGTCTTGGAGAACAGTTCTGACTGTTTACAAAGGACCCCAGAGATCCATGACATGGAGCAGTCTGTCATGTTCTTGACATGAATATTTTGGAGCAAGTCATGTAGTGAGCTTATAAACTGATATCCACTAGGCCTTTTTGAGCATTTTGAGCCTTGCCTCTGCTCGGGGCCCCCTCCAAACTCTTTGGAGTGTACTTTTTCTTTTCTAATAATGGCCCTTGAGCCGTTCTCTACTTTTCTCTACTGCTTGGGCCTGCTGCTGCTTCTTTGAAATGTATTTTTACTTCTAATAAACTCCTTTTCTGCAACTTTAAAAAATAATAATAAACTAATATCCACTAGTATAGCTTTTCTTTTTCAGTTATGTGACCTAGGCAAGATAGTTAATCTCTGTAAGCTTCAGTTTCCTTATCTGTAAAGTAGGATAAGATGTTTGTAAAACATTTTGCCTTGATAGTGCCTGGTATGTGGTAAGGACTCAGTAAACATGAATTATTGCTTTTATCTTTATTTTACTTTTTACTTACCACCACATTTTCAGAAAACTGAGGATGTAATAACTGTTAGTTTGTTCTATTTAGTTACTTAGTTATGTTTGTGGGACATGGCCATCTTATAAGAGCGGAACTTCCTTACATTATATGCGCAGGAACTACTTGACTAGGCAGAAGCTGAGACTGTTCAGGAGAAAACCAGGGACCTGCACAAATCTCTCCACCTCTCCAAGCCTCAGTTACCTTCATTATAAAGCAGAAATTGTCATTCCTGCTTTATGCCCTCAGATGAAGGATCATTGAGATGATAGATGTAAAAGTAACTGGTTGGAGATTTTCTGAAATAAAAAGTCTTTTTAAAAAACTTAAGTACTTTGCAAGTGGCAAAATGCTCTTCATATTGAAGGAGATGGTATCGGTATTAACATTATTATTATTGGAGAGTTTGATTTATCCTGCCTTCCCTCACAGATTGATCCGAAAGCTGAGAATAGCAACTTGGGCTGTATTTATTATAGTCCAGTAGAGCCCCCTGGGTACATGAGACCTGGATGTAGCTCTCTTTTCTAACACTTCAAATGATAAGCCTTTTGTTTTTCTTTTTCTGTCTGCCACTATAAAGTTGATTTGGGGTGAGAAGAGATTGTCCTTTAGTAATGTTACCAAGGTACCTTTTCCTTCCCAGACCAACCTGGCTGAGATGCTTTCCTTTGTATTTGATAGGAGTGGGCTTTGCAAGCTCTGGTCTGTTCCTGACTGCAACCTCCTTCACACTCTTCGAGGTGAGTTAGACTCTTGTTTCAATCTTCATCTTTTTCCCAGTGTAAACTGTGTCAGCAGTAAAACTCCAAAACTCTGCCCATATCCAGACCCAATACACACAAGATTAGTTCTCGACTTGATATGACCGTTTGTTTTTTTCTGACCGCAAGGCTCAAAGATGGCGACTTCATACACATACCACTTTTCTCTCATATCCAGTCTCTAAACCAAAAAACCAAGGTTTTTGTGTTTTGCTTTTTAAAATGTGATTAAAATGTTTGTTTAAATTAATATGTCCACATGTTCCCTAATTTCTCCCTATCACTTAAAGTTTGCACTTAAAGTTATAAGGGGAACTCTTTAACTTGTGTCTCTTACACTCCTTCAGGCCATAACACAAACGTGGGAGCAATTGTATTTCATCCAAAATCCACTGTCTCCTTGGACCAAAAAGATGTCAATCTGGCTTCTTGTGCCGCAGATGGTTCTGTGAAGCTTTGGAGCCTTGACAGGTGAACACTATTCTTTGTACTGCAATCACTAAAGTACAATAAATAGTTGATTAGTTGGCTTTGGGACCTGAAAATCTGGCTTTTAACCCCAGAGATGCTCTAAGAGTCAGGGTAACTTGGTATGAAAATAGAAAGGAGAATTTCTTTCATATACCTTTTCTCGCCAGAGGAGTTGTAACAGGTTTTTTTCTTGTTAACTTTAGACCTTGATTTTTGCTTCTAACAGTGGCCACTGTTTCCTGGCTCCACTTATTCTGGAAAGATCTGTTTTAACTCCTATGCAATAGATTGATGTTGGAGAAATGTATATGGGTAGATTTGACTAAAGATATTATTCTTGGCAGCATGTTGGTTCTTAGCAAACAGCCACAGGGGAGAGGAAAGTGGGGCTCTGTCTCGCGGTATTGCCAAGGAAGTGATGTCTTCTCCCAGTAGCGTCATCCTTTACCTAGACCATATTTACAAATTACAACAAGTTTTTGGGGTTTTTTTAATGTGTTTACGATTATTGTTTTCCAGTAAATTTTTGGAACTATGTTGTTGGCTAAAAGACATCTGAATTCAATTGCCTAGTTTTCTTTCTTTGGGAAAGCACATGAGGCTTTTATTCTAGGGTTTTGTAAAGAGCTAATTAGTGTCTCCACTCTTTAGACAGGGTCTTACCTGTGAGCACAGCAGGTTTTAATTGGCTTTGGTAATACTTAGCAATATTTGTTCCCCTAGGGCTTTGATTAGTTCTGTGTATGCACATTGACAAAGTTTCCTTTTTAATTGCCCTCTTTAGGGTTCATGTTTATTTTGTTTTGCTGGTGTTTCAGATCTTCTTCCTGTGGTTGCTGGGTGGTAGAATTTTTTTTTTTTTAAGATTTTATTGGGGAGTTGGTGGAGGGAACAGCTTTGGGGAATCGGGGAAGGGGAACAGACAAGTTGCTGTCCTTTTGTTCTTTAGTCTAGTTGTAGAGGATGTTGCTTCACTGGCCCATGTTGGTATTATCATTGCGCTCTTCCCGGCCGAGGTAGATCAGTTGCTGGCCATTGGATGGCTGCTCATAGCGGCTCATGGCAGCTCTTGCCGGCTGCCAGCCACTCACAGTAGCTTACGGCAGCCCACGCCATCACTGGCGACTCACGGCAGCCCAGCTCCAGGTCGAGCTGTTGTTCACCATCTTAGCTGTAAAGAGCACAATGTCACTGGCCATGTGGGATCCGAACCGGCGGCCCTGCTGCTCAGAGCCCAGACTCCCAAGCCAACTCTTCACCAAAAAGCCACTCGGCCAGCTCTGGGTGGTAGAATTTAATGGTCACCAAAAGGAAACTAAGCCTCTATATATGTAGGAGTTTTTTTTACCATGTGAATCTTTGAATAAGCTAAAGTTTGAGAAGATTTTATCTGTAATACACTTGCACCAAAACTGATTACCTCACATCTCTATCAAAGAATGTGTTCTTTCTAGAATGTCAGCACTACCTTGGTGCAGAGAGACTATTTGGCTTATTTTTTATTTTTCTCTAATTCTAAGTGGTATAGCATTAAGAAGTTATTAACATAGTGAATTGAAATAGAAAGAGAGTGTTTATTGAAGTACTATGGGCAGTTTCGCTCTGTGGGCACATGAAGTAGTCCCAAATCTTTTAAATCCTAGGAAGTGACTTAAATTATTGTTAGCCCTGAAGTTTTAACAAATTCCATGTTCAGTTACAATTTGGCTTCTCAAGTCATACAGAATCGGTGTGTCTGTCTACAGTTAATAAGTTCAACAAATATTTACATGAGTATAAAATAGTTGACTCACATATATTTGACTTTTTTTCAGTGACGAACCAGTGGCAGACATTGAAGGCCATACAGTGCGCGTGGCCCGTGTAATGTGGCATCCATCTGGACGTTTCTTGGGCACCACCTGGTAAGCCTTCCTGTTCCTGTTCTATCTATGTGGGCTTATGGCATCTTGTTAACCCTTGATGGCTAACTGCCAGGTAAACTTTTAGAATAGATCTTCAAGTAGGATTTTCTTGAACAGCAATGAATCAGAAGAGAGTATATGACCTAGTTAGGGCCAAGTGAATTTGCTTTCAAATTGCAGTTAACCTGAAATTTTAAAATCGCTAATTACCAGAAAACTAAAATTTTCACACTTTTCTTTCTTGACCAATCTTGACCAAAAACAAAAAAACAAGTATTTGTTTTGTTTCATTATACCTTGTATCATAATCTCTCTGCTTACAAATTGGTCCCCCTTTCTGGTTCTAAAAGTTTTGTAAGCCCAGAATCTGTTAAAGAACTTATTAATTGAGGTATCATTTACATGCAGTGGAATGGATTTGTTTTAAGTGTACTATGCAATCATTCTTGAAAAATGCATATGCTTGTGTGACCTATATCTGTTTCGTTGGAAAGAACGTTTCTATCACTCCACAAAGTTCCCTCATGCCCCTTCCCAGTCAGCTTCCCCTTCCAAAGCAACCACTGAGCTGATTTCTATCACCATAAATTCTGTTTGTTCCTACTGTGTGAATTCACTGTGTCTGGCTTCTTTCACTCAACCAACATTTTTTTTTTTAAGATGTTTTTTTTTGTTTTTTTGTTTTTAATTTTGGGAATTGGAGGATGGGAACAGTGCTGGGGAATTGGGGGAAGGGGGACAGACAAGTTGCTGTTGTTTTGTTCTTCAGTCTAGTTGTGGAGGACGTTGCTTCACTGGCCCAAGTTGGCACCATCATTGCGCTCTTCCTGGGCGAGGCAGATCAGTCGCCGGCTTCTGGACGGCCGCTCACTGCGGCTGCTGGCCGCTCACGCTGGCTGCTGGCTACACACAGTAGCCCACGCAACCCACTGCCACAGGGGCTGCAGCCTACGCTGTCGCTGGCGACTCACGCAGCCCAGCTCCAGGCTGAGCTGTTGTTCAGCATCTTAGCTGTGGAGGGCAGTGTCACTGGCCCTCATATGTGGGATCCGAACCGGGGCCCTCTGGCGTCCCAAGCTAGTTCTTAACCATCGCGCCACTCGGCCGGCCCTCAACCAACATTTTAAAGATTCATTCATGTTGTTGAATGTATCCCTAAGTCCTTTTCATTGCCAAGGAGTATTCGATTGTATAACTGTGCCACAATTTTATTTATCTATTTTCCTCTTGGTGGACAGTTGGACGGTTTCCAAGTTTTGGCTAGTCAGAATGAAGCTACCATAAACATTCTTGTACAGGGCTTTTCTTGTGGACATGTTTTTCTTTCTTTTCTCTTGAATATGCGTAAATACCTAGGAATGCTAGTTCATAGGGTAGGTATTTATTTAACTTTTAAAAAATTTTCGAGTGGTCTTATCATTTTACATTACGGTTGCTTCACATCCTTGCCAGCATTGGTGGTGTCAGTCTTATCATTCTGCCCAGTCTAGCAAGTGTGCAGTGAAATCTCATGGATTTCATTTTTTATTACCCTAGTGACTGTTGTTCAGTACTTTGTCATATGCTTATTAACTATTTGTATATTCTGCTTTGTGCAGTCTCCAGGTGCTTTCCCCAAATTTTTAATGTTTGTCCTTCATATATATATAATTTTCTTTTTTAAACTTTATGGGGAAACAATATGTTTTTCCCAGGACCCATCATCATGTCAAGTTGTTGTCCTTCAATCTTAGTCGTGAGGGTGCAGCTCAGCTCCAAGTCCAGTCGCCATTTTTGGGGAGTCAAACTGGCAACCTTGTTAAGAGCATGTGCTCTAACCACCTGAGCCATCCGGCCACCCATCAGCAGCTCAGCAGCAGCTAAGCTCAAGGTGGCCATGTTCAATCTTAGTTGCAGGGTGCACAGCCTACCATCCCATGCAGGAGTCCAGCAGGCAACCTTGTTGTTAAAGAGCACAGGCTCTCACCAGCTGAGCCACCTGACCACCCGATGGCAGCTCAGCTCGGGCGCAGCGCACTGGCCCATGTGGGAACCAAACTCGCAACCCTGTTTTACTCAGAGCTCGCGCTGTTAACCAACTGAGTCACGCGGCCACTCCCTGTTTGTCTTTTTTTTTTTAATTGGGGTGACATTGGTTAATAAAATTACATAGGTTTCAAGTGTACAATTCTGTAATACATCATCTGTATATTGCATTGTATGTTCACCACCCAAAGTTAAATCTCTTTCCATCACCATATATTTGATCCTGTTTACCCTTTTAACATTTGTCCTTCTTTTTGTCTTTATTTCCATGCACATAGACAGTTCTACCACCATTTATTGAAGAGACTTTCCTTTCCCTGTTGAAATTGCTTTGACACCCTCTTTGAAAACCATTTGACTGTAACGTGTGTGGGTCTATTTCTGTCCTCTCTTCCATTGATCTATTTGTCTATGATTGATTTTTGTATCCCCAACATGCAATTTAGGGCCCAGTAAATAAATAAACGCTCGATGAAGGAAAGGACAGAAGAGTGGAATTGGAAAAGAAAGAAGGCAACAGAATCTTTGCTGGGCCATTCTTAGAGAATTCTGTTCTTAAAACCGACACTGAAATAGGTTTCTAGGAAGTCATAGTTTCCCAGTTAGCACCCAAGACATAAATGCTTAGTTATTAAGAAATTGTTTGTGCTGGGCTGGCCGGGTGGCTCAGTTGGTTAAGAGCGTAAGCTCTGAGCAGCAGGGTTGCCAGTTCGATTCCCACATGGGCCAGTGAGCTGTGCCCAAGCTGAGATGCCTACAGGTGGCAGGATGGCTCAGCTGGTGAGAGCACATGCTCCTAACAACAAGGTTGCCTGTTGGATTCCCGCATGGGATGGGAGCTGTGCCCCTCGCAACTAAGATTGAACACAGCACCTTAAGCTGAGCTGCTGAGAGGTGCCTGTGGGCAGCCATACAGCTAGGTAATTAGAGCGTGCACTCTTAACAACAAAGTTGCCAGTTTGACTCCCGCATGGGATGGGGGGCTGTGTCCCCTCCCCCCCCACAATTAAGATTGAACACGGCACCTTGAGCTGAGCAGCCATGAGCTGCCGACGGGCAGCCAGATGGCAACCAGACTTAGAGCTGAGCTAGCTGCGCCCTCCACAACTAAGACTGAAGGACAACAACTTGGCTGTTTCCCTCCCCCAATTCCCCAATAAAAAAAGAAAAAAAGAAATTGTTTGTGCCAGAAAAGAATTTCTTGTTAATATGGTTATATGAAGTTTCAGAAGCATAACTGAAACTACAACTGTTCATAGTACCCTGCACATTGTAGAAACTGAATAAATTTCTCCTGAGTAATTATTAGTTTGATTTTGTAGCTATGACCGCTCATGGCGCTTATGGGATTTGGAAGCTCAAGAGGAGATCCTGCATCAGGAAGGCCACAGCATGGGTGTGTATGACATTGCCTTCCATCAAGATGGTTCTTTGGCTGGCACTGGGTAAGCCTTCTTCCACACTGCCAGGGGCAGCTCAGTAATCTCACCTTTTGTATGCCCGCTACCACAGAGAGCTGGATTCAAATGTTCATTTGTGAATTACTTTATCAGGGGACTGGATGCATTTGGTCGAGTTTGGGACCTGCGCACAGGACGCTGTATCATGTTCCTAGAAGGGCACCTGAAGGAAATCTACGGAATAAATTTCTCCCCCAATGGGTAAAATAAGCTCATTGAATGAGGGCTGGAGAGGGTTCTTGGTTGAGAAGTAATCTTTGTTTCTAACTTCAATACCACATCTGACCCACAGCTACCATGTTGCAACTGGCAGTGGCGACAACACCTGCAAAGTGTGGGACCTTCGACAGCGGCGCTGTGTCTATACCATCCCTGCCCATCAGAACTTAGTGACTGGGGTCAAGTTTGAGCGTAAGCTTTCCTTCTGTTTTAGGCGTTATCATGAGACTGACAGATTGCGCTTCCATGGAATGTGGGCCAGGCTTTAGCTTAACTTGGAAGTGGAACAGGAGAGAATTTGAACTCTGTTGAAGGAGGAAATTTTAATTTCCTTCCTTTTATGCTTTCAGACAGAGCTATAGCACAGCATGCTTCTCATTGCTAGGAAGTAAAGACTTCCTGAATGCTTTGCTTCATCTTTTTCTCCGTAGAAATTCTAAGCACTGAATCCTTAATATTATTCTGAACAGGTTGTCTATCAGGGAAAGAGCCAAAAGGCCTTAGTAATGTTATTTGTTAATAATGTTATCTGTTTCCCTAAGCTTGCCTGTAGTTGTCCCTTTTTCCTACAGGCCTAGTAGGAATATAGATCAGAATGTTGGGTTTTTCTTACTAGTTTCAAAATAGTATGCTCTAGCAGATTTATGTGCTTTTATTTTCTGATACGCTTGAATACTTGAACTCCCCTTTTTCTCTTGTAGCTATCCACGGGAATTTCTTGCTCACTGGTGCCTATGATAACACAGCCAAGATCTGGACCCACCCAGGCTGGTCCCCACTGAAGACTCTGGCTGGCCATGAAGGCAAAGTTATGGGCCTAGACATTTCTTCTGATGGACAGCTCATAGCCACTTGCTCGTATGACAGGACCTTCAAGCTCTGGATGGCTGAATAGGCAGGACCGTGGGAAAAAGACTCTCACCTCAAGCTCTCCCTTAAGAGCCATTTTCGAAAAAGAAATGGATGAGTTTTGTTCTATCATGTTTTTTGCCAGTTGCCATGTATAGACCCTCGGTAGATTGGATTTCCCTGTCAGTCCCCACTCCAGGCAGGCAGCCCAGTCCCTGGGTGTTGGTGAACCCCTTTCGTGGTTGCAACTTTAATTTCACCTTCAAGCCCTGCCAAGAACTGTGTGGACATTGTTTTTATTAATCTTTGGTTTAAATGCCCTGTTGCCTTCCTCACAGCACTCAGGATTGTGACTGACTTCATTTTTAATTCTTGAAACTTGGCTTTCCATTACATGGTACATGCTTCGGGACTACATGTGACCTGGAGAGCATAGTGGCTGGATTGTAGTCTGGAAGCCCTCGAGCAAAGAGGCACGTCTCACCACTGGTTAAACAACGGCTAACAGGGCAAGGACCTTTCCTCTACCTTGAGAACATGAGATGAAGAGGTAGACCCCCAGCCATGCTCAGGGTTATGCAGTAGAGAAGATTGTACCTCTTCCTGTTGAGTTCACTTGGAATGCTACCTGCATCAGGAAGCTCAGAGCTGAACATTTGCCTTGTCAGAAAATGTCTCCATTTAGCTTTGAAGTTCGGCATCCTTCGTGTTACCACAAAGCTCAGCCATTGTATCAAAAGTCAATGAAATTTTTAGAAAGCAAACATGATATCTCTTGTGCAACCTCCTTTCTGTCATTTATTTAAAGGATATACCCTTCATGTCGAGGAAACTCTGGAAAAAATCCTTAATGGGTATTTCTAAACAAACCTTTTTTTTTTTTCTTACACGCTTGCTACAGAGTAAAACCCTATTATAGAAATTCCTTCAAAGAATTATTTTGCATAGTTAAATATTTTCTGAATCTCAGCCTTTGGTCCATAGAGGTCCCTTTTTTGGTTTGAGATATAACAAATGCTCTCAAATATGGTTTACTCCAATTTCTATCTCCATAGTAAGCACTCTGTTAATAATTTTTTTAAAAAAAATAGAAAGCTGTCACTGCATTGTGGGCCGGACTAGCCGTGAATTATATCTGGACTCTATAACATTTACTCATTGGCCACCCAGCAGTTACCGTCCCTCTTTCCACCCCAAATATGAAACCACTGAACTCTGAAAATACACAGTAAATTCATACAAACATACAGGAATTTGGAAGAAAAAAGGATTGTGTATAGAGAATTTAAGGACTTATATGATGGCTTCTTGAACATTCACACACTTTTTCAGTTGCTATTCCAGAGAGGCTGAGCGTAGCTTGTCTAGCTGTATTCTTTAAGCTGTGGTTGTGTGATATATAGCTAAATATTCTGTTTAACCTGATTCCAATTATAACCAAATATCCTGTGTACCTGTTACACTTGTGAATTCTCAGCTCTACTCTGTTGGGCACTTCACTGTTGTTTCAGTATTAATGGGCTCTATTCCTTCCATATTTGGCCATGAAAAGAAATTATTTTCATTATTATCTTTGCAGTATGTGTAAACTAATAATGAACATTAGTGTATTAACATGCAATTTGGATGTCGTGTGTATAATGTGTTAAGGTTTTTCGTTTTTCAAGTTTAAATTTTATTTCGTTAATCTTGTCTGTTTTTTGGTGGAGAGGGTTTGTTGTTCCAAGAGATTCAGAGGCAGCAGCTGGGGGCAAACGTCTCACCTAAGCCTTTGGCAAAGCAGATGTCTCGTGGAACACGCATTTCTTCACTGGAAATGTCTTGGTAAGAAAGCAGTTAGCTGAGGTGCGTAAACCAAGTGTGGCATTTTATGCTTATGGGGAGAGAAATAGAGCCTCCACTTGACAGAACACTTACTCGGCCTAGACACTGCCAGGCACATTCAGACATCTCGTTTAATCCTCACAATTTTAGGAGTTACTTATTCCTTTTACAGACAAAACTGAAGTTTAAAGACGTGAAGTAACGTGGGCCGGCCGAGTGGCTCAGTGGGTTAAGAGCTCGCTCAAGAGTGCGAGCTCTGAGCAACAGAGGTTTGAGTCCTGGCCCGAGCTGAGCTGCCAACAGGTGGCAGGATGGCTCAGCTAAAAAAAAAAAAAAGGGAAGTAACTTGCTCAGGGATACCCAACTAGTAAGTGTCTGATCCTGGTCTGCCCGTGTGTGACCTTATGTAGACATTTCATAGGGCTTTACTGAGTGTTGGCAGTACTGGCCAGACAAAAAGATCAGCCTGGCCAGCATGGCCTGTTTCCTGTACGAAGCCTGATCTTTTTCATCACTCTTCTTCTGTGTCGCCTTTTTGATGAGTCATTGCATCTCTTAAGCTGACTTGACGCCAAAGAGAGTTAATTTCACCACTTCTACCTCATGAACTTAATTGAGGAGCCTATAGTGTTCAGCAGGAAACGATCTGCATTTTCGGATGGGTGATATTTTGTTGAATGGAATGGTCTTCAGCATTGCAGCATGTCTGACCTCTGGAGAACAGAAAGCCAGAAGCACAACCCACCCCCTTCATTGGAGTACCTAAGGTGCCCCAGACATTTCTAGATGCCCCTTAAGAGGATGGCACTGCCCCAAAGTTAGAAATACTGAGTGTGAGAATAGAAGACACTAAAATGTTGCCCTGTCCCCCCAAAATTTAAACCTATATTTTATTTGGATGGTATATCGGCCACTTTACAAGTATAATTTCTGTTTTTACTGCGAGTCCACCACTTACTAGCTGGGTGATCTTAGACAAGGTAGCTGATGGAGTCTTCTAGAGCAGCAGGCCCCAGTGCAGAGGTAAGTGTTCCTTCCCGAGCTCCCCCGCAGCTCCTCTTCCTGGTCCTCATGGCTCTGAGAACATGGTGAGCTCATTGCCTAACTTACTACCACAAGATTAAGAGCAAGGATGTGTTAAGAAATGAAGTCAGTGGGGAGAGCCTGAGTCCCAGCTTTAGTGTAATTATCTTTGATGGCGCAAATGGAAAGGTAGGTGCTAGTCCCCTGGCAGGATACATAAGTGACTTTCCAATTTTGTAATGGGACAACTTTTTCTTCACGTCTTTTAGACAGTTTGGTTTTACTAAACGTGAAATACATGTCTTGGCTATTTGGGAATATCTTGTACATTTTAAGATCCCTAAGAATTTATAGAAGCTAGTTCCACTAAACTCAAAATGTTACTTGGAGCAAATAAAACCAACTCTATTTTCGGCCTCTGAAAGCTTATTCTACAAATAAAAAAATTCAAAATGTTACCTGTTTGTAAATGTAATGGTGTTTTAACCAGTTTGAGATTGTTTTAGAGCCCTGGGTCACCAGGCAATATTAAAACTGGAGAAACAGAATCAGGGTTTTCAACACTGAAGAGGTGAAAACTTGTCAAGCAGCGGCCTGAGCATCCAAATTCGACCTAGTTTTCTTTGATTCCTGGACTCATGTAAAATGAGAACCAGAGTCCCCTGCCTGCATGGCCTGGGATGGGAGCTAAGGTTTTTACTCTATCCAGGGTTTCTGCCTTAACTTCTTGAGGCCAGAATTTCAGTGCTTGGAGGCGGGAAGTCAGCTCCACCCTGCACTGTCTTCTCATCAGGACCTCTGCACCTACCAGGAGGAATAAAAACCTTTTCCTCCAAATCCCAGATTTATTCTACTCCACTGACCTTGCCTTTCACCTTTAAACTTTCAGACGCTTAATACTCCATAAACTGCATACCTACAAGAGGTTGTCTTGTACCCAAAGCAGCTGAAAGAGCATGCCCTCCCTGCTGGTAAGGGCTGTCTGCCACCCCTGGAGACTCCTACCTTTCCCTTCCTCTAGTTCTGACACAGCACCAGCCAAATAAACGATTGAATGAGTAAGTGATCATTTTTACTAGAACTGGTGACAACACATCGAAAGAAAAAGCTGCAAGGGGAAGGAAGGCACGTGTGCTCACAGAATTGAAACTCACTTTCCAAATTTTTTAGCAACGCGAACAACTCAAAAAATGCGAACCAAGTTCAAAAGCTCCAGTGAGAAATGCAGCCTGCTATTTGGGCTAGTCAGCTTCCTGGAGACTTGTCCAGTCCTTTGACACAACTTGCTATGGAGCTCTGTAATCACAGATCTGCTTCTCTACCCTTCTGTGACCCTGTGGTTCTCACCCAGAGGTCTCTTCACATCTTCTCCCAGCCCTTTCGCTTTCAGAGCTTCTCATTATAGTAGGATCTGTTCCCAGAAGCAAACACATGAACTAACTGACCCGTGGAGTGTAAAAATGAATACTACAAAGGAAAACGACCCCACGAGGTGCTGCAGTCCCCGTGCCCAGCAGCAGCTGAGAAAGTCTTTGTTCCTTGTCTGGGACAGATGCTCACCCCATACCCCAAAGGAACTGCTTGGTCCAAAAGATGGAGAAGATGAGCAACAGAGTGATGCTGAGGATGACAGCCATCAGGTAGGCAAATATTCGGAACTGAGGGTTACGGAAACAGTCCCTTAGAGAGTAGTGGCTGGAGATGGGAACGGGCAGAGGCGTGCTGGTAGGGGCCGTGGCCTGGGGGTCGTCAGTCTGGCTCTCAGGCTCAGGACCTAGGTCCAGCGTGTAGACCCGGGGCTGGCGCAGGAAGTAACAGCTCTTGGGTTGGTCCTTGAGACAGAGCTGATGACCTTCCAGGATGACGTGGTGGGGCTCCAGGCGGAGCAGGGTGAGCATGGCAGTATCTGTGGGCAAGTCAGTGACAGGCTGCCCAGAGGCCAGCACAGTGGGCTGGCGACAGAGGGGGCACAGCAGTCGGCGCCGGGCTGGAGTCACCAGGCTGAGGTGGGCCAGGCATTCCACGCAGAAGGAGTGGCAGCAGTCCAGCACTTTGGGGGTGTGGAACGTGTTGTTGAAGGGGTTCCAGCAGACAGGGCACTCAGGCTCCGAGCCCTGCTGCTTCTCGGCCATCCTCAGACCAGACGCCAGGAGGCCTGGCAGAGAGGGAAGAGAAGCAAAGGAACACTCATTAAGCTCCGTTAAAAGGGGTTATCGGGCCGGCCGAGTGGCGCGATGGTTAAGAGCTGGCTTGGGACGCCAGAGGGCCCCGGTTCGGATCCCACATATGAGGGCCAGTGACACTGCCCTCTACAGCTAAGATGCTGAACAACAGCTCAACCTGGAGCTGGGCTGCCATGAGGCGCCGGCGATGGCGTGGGCTGCACCCCCTGCTGCAGTGGGTTGCCATGGGCTACCGTGTGTAGCCAGCAGCCAGTGTGAGCAGCCAGCAGCCGCCGTGAGCAGCTGTCCAGAAGCCGGCGACTGATATGCCTCGCCAGGGAAGAGCGCAATGATGGTGCCAACTTGGGCCAGTGAAGCAACGTCCTCCACAACTAGACTGAAGAACAAAAGGACAGCAACTTGTCTGTTCCCCTTCCCCCAATTCCCCAATAAAATAAACATCCCCCCAATTCCCCAATAAAATAAATCTTTTAAAAAAAGGTGTTATCACCCACATTTCACTGATGAAGAAAACTTAGGTTCAAAAGGATGAAGCAATCTGTTCCAGATCACCCAGTCCTAAGCCATAGTTAAGACGGGTGCTCCTGCAGTATCCCCTCTCTCGGGGTGAAGGCCAGAGCCAGCCCACTGGAAGAGACCAGTACCCCAGCTTTGGAAATGGATAAAAGTGCTCCTTATGCTCCATGTGATTGCCCTTGGCTTCTGGGACTCCAGGAAGAGGGAGGGGAGTCAGTGGTTTGTGCTAGAGGGCAGCGATTTCCTTCCCTGCTGTGCAAATCCCTGACTAGTGCAGAGATGGGTTTGTGAATTCCCTGGTCTGTCCGTCCTCTGGGAACAAATGCCGGGCCCTCTTTCCCTTGTCCCTTTGGGCTACAGGGCCAGCCCTCCAGAGCCCATTTGCCCAGTCTTTGTGCAGGGCACTGCATTCGCCTGCAAGGGGGCCCCTTGACCTGGAAGCTTGGACAGACTCCCCTGCCCGAGTCCCCAAGATCAGCCCTTCCAGAGCCTCCTCCCACTATTCCATCTCCTCCAGCTCCTCCCTCCCTTTGTCCTGGAAAACCCCCAGGGCACCCACCTGGGCTTCGCTGGCTGGAGTGTGGTCAGCAGACTACCCTGAAGGGCCTGAGGCTCCAAGTCTTTCCCTCTCCTGAATCCACAAAGCTTTGGGAGGCTGCCTTCTCGCCACCAACCCTGGGGCCCATCTCCATGGCAGCAAAGGCAGCACCTGGAGCTGCCAGGTGGCCCAGGCTGCAGCCTCTAGAGCGCACCTGCCTGCAATAAAGACCAGAGAGCTGCCCAGGTGGTGGTGGGGTGGGGAGGTGGGGGCCAGAGTTCCCCTAGGGCTTGGCATACAACCAAGGAAGCTAAGTATGTGGGCGGCCCCTTCAGGACCTGGGATCACTGGCTGGAAAGGTAGAGGCGGCCATTTCCTTTTTCTAGATTGTGGAGAGGGTAAGGAGCCTTCTGGGCTTCCTGTCTCCTGGGCCCTCATTCTTTTCTAACATGGCTGAAACCTCCTTCTCGCACAAAGGGGCTGCCTGCCCTGCACTTCAGATTCACCCACTACACTGCCTAAAATCTCAGCTGTCAGAGGCAGCAAGTCCTCTCCCGGCCCCTTCTGATCAATTTCATGTGCCCAGGAAGCTGCAGCCAGAACACAGCCAGCCGTTCCGGCAGGCACTGAGCACTGAGATCTTAGAGTCCAAGAGCTGGCCACCCCACCACCCTTGGGGATTCAAAAGGGGAGTCAGGAAGAAGGAAGGCTCCAGCCCTAAGTCCCCATTTCAACAAGAAACACGTAGCTTTTCCCATGTTGATTATTTGAATAGATTGAAGAGTTGAACTGCTGAGGGGGAAAAAAAAGTTAAAAAAACACTCCTCTGTCCTAACCACACACTTTGCAGATGGAAGGCAAGAAGTGACTCTCACCCAAGGTCACCCAGCGAGTGACACTGGGACTTCCAGTTCACCACCATGTGCCATCAGAAAGGCAGAACACTCATCCATTCAGTTACCTGCTGGGTGTGTCTTATTAACTAGACAGTGTTTGTATTTTCTCAGGAGATTCCTCATGGCCATAGGTCTCTTGTGGTGGGAATCCAGGAACTGCAGGGGGCGCTTGGGGGCCGTGAACCTCCCTTGTGCCCCTGCTATGCCGTTATCTACCCTGACGGAGTTGATACCTGAAGCAAAACCTGCTTGCACTCTCTCATGCATGGCTGCCTGGTTTTCTCCTAGACCTGTTACTGCTCCGTATAGGGAAGAGGAAATGAAGACCCGCAGAAAGAGCATGGCACAGCTCTGACCAAAGATGGGATAGTTTACCAAGGATCCTTACCAACAAACGCCTTCTGTGGACGAGTCGTCCATTCTATTGTACAAACGGTTACTGAGTTACTGAGTGCTCGCTATATGCCAGGTGCTGTGTGAGGCACGGGCCAATAATGGTGAACAAAATGGACATGGTCTTTGACCTCATGGTCTTTAAAGTCTAGCGAGGGAAAGAGGCATTTAATGACTAATGGGCACTAAATAAATACATAAGTTTAATAAACGCTATAAAAGACAAAAAAGGAAAATGGGCTTGTGGGGCGAGGGGATGGATGGCTGCTTCAGATGAGAGCACCAGGGAAGGTTTTTCCAAAGAGGTGACATGAACGCTGAGACGAAGGATGAGAAGAGCCTGGCAGTGCAGAGTGGAGGAAGGTCGAGGGAACACCACGTACCAAAGCCCTAAGGTGAGAAAAGTTCTGCCAAATTGAGGACCTGAAATGAGGCCAGAGTGACTGAGGTGTAACCAGTGGAGCTGGGGTGGGGAAGTGGCTCAGGATGAAGCCAGAGAGGGAGGAAGCAGGCCCTGGAAGCTGGGGAATGCATCTGGATTTATTCTAGAGGGGTAAGGAGGTTTGGTGGGGGAGAGGGCGACCTGATCCTATTTGCATTTCATTCCACTGCAGAGCAGAGAAAAGATTGAAGGGACACAGTGGAAAGAGAAGTCCAGCGGTGGGACTCAGCAGGGCTCCAGGCTGGGATGTGGGTTGGGTGCCTGAGTAGGTCAGGCGATGGCAGAGAAGATCAAAGGCATGAGGTAAATGATATCTTTGGAGAGAGAATCAAAGTCACTTCCCAGGGCCGGCCAAGTGGCTCAGTTGGTTAAGAGTTGGCTTAAGAACGCGAGTTCTGAGCAACAGGGCCACCGGTTCGATTCCCACATGGGCCAGTGATGCTGCGCCCGAGCTGAGCTATCGCTGAGCTGCCAACAGGTGGTAGGATGACTCAGCTGGTATAACAAGATTGCCTGTTCAATGGTGGGCTACGCCCACCCGCAACTAAGACTGAACTCGGCACCCTGAGCTGAGCTGCCACCCGGATGGCTCAGTGGAGAGAGCGTGCACTCTTAACAACAAGGCTGCTGGTTCAACTCCATCATGGGATGGTGGCTACGCCCACCTGCAACTAAGATTGAACACAGCACCTTGAGCTTAGAGGCCACGAGCTGCCGACGGGAAGCCAGATGGCGACTGGCAGCCTCCACAACGAAGATTGAAGAACAACAACTTGGCTTGTCCCCTTTCCCAATTCCCCAACACTGTTCCCCGCCCCCAATTCCCCAATAAAATCTTTAATAAAAAAAAAAAAAAACACTTCCCAAGAAACTGGACAGCATAGATTCTGGAACCATGCTGTCAGGACTCGTGACTTCAAACCCACTGCTTACTAGGGCCGTGATTCCAGTTGAATTGCTTAACCTCTCTGTGCCTCATTTTCTTCTGGAAAGAAAGCTAGAAGTAGTACATTAGAGGGTAAAGGTCTTAGACAGAGCCTGGCACCTAGTAACAACCATATATGAGGCGGTTGGTATTATCACTGTAAATGGATTTGAGTGAGAGGAAGGGTCAAGGCCAACTTAGAGGCTATAAAATATTCTCTGCACTTAGCTTTGAGGAGCCCCTGAGTTCCAGAAGCAGACCTTGAGTGCTTAATCAAAAGCCCTAAAATGTACATAGCCTTGATTCAGCAATTCCCCCACTGGGAATCTATCCCATGGAAATAATAAGGAGCTGTGTGAGATTCGATTACAGAGCTACTCATCAGAGCACCGCTCTATGGTGAAGAATTGAAAACTACCTAATTAACAGAAGGACATTGATTAAATAAAATCTACCCCATCCATATGAAGAGACATTCTACAGCCTTTAAAATGATGTGATAAAGCATCTATTCATATGGAAATACATTCATGATATGTTATTAAGTGCAAAGAACCAGTAATAAAACCATATTGGAATATAACTCAATTTTCCAATATATATGCGCAATGGAAAAAATTTCTGGAATAATAAAAACCAAAATGTCAACAATGGTTACCTCTGGGGATAAGGTTATAGGTGTTTGTGATTTTTTTTTTTAAATGATCTTATCTGAAAATTCTAACTTGACTACGGTAAGCTTGTATTACTTCTCTTAAGGATCTCCTCTTTCCCCGAAAGCCCACCCACGTTTTCGTTTTCTGGAAGGATGATCACGGTTGCATCAGCACCTTAGCCCTTATCTGCTGTGTTGCCCTCAGGCATCCACTGTTGTTTCAGGATCCGCTGGTCAGACTCCAGCCTCTCCAGGAGAGACTCTAGTGGAGTATCCACCCACCACTCACCCCCAAGCCAAGACATCTCAGCTACAGCAAGTCCTACACAGAACCCCAAAGGCATCGCCTCTGTCTATGACCAAGTCAGTTTGCCAGATATTGTCTCTAGCATCCCCCCAACATTGTCAGCCTCGAGAGAGAGCATTTTATAGCACATCACAGTTTACAGAGAGCCCCAGTCCTTGCTAGGGTCTGAGTGTGGCAACTCACACATAGATGGTATGATTGTTTTCCATTTTACAATGTTTTTTTCCATTTGCAGAAGGCCATTTGGTTCTTTCGAACCGCCCTGTGAAGGAAGCAGGATGGGGAGGAGAAAGTGTGCAGGCTTTGGAGCCGAATGTATTTGCTGTGAAGTCTTGGACTAATGGCTTAACCTCTCTGAGCTTCATTTTCCTGTGTCAAATAAGCTAATAATCCCACTTTCCAGGGTTACTGTGAGGAAGGGATAATGTCTAGAATGCTCCCAGCAAGGCACAGCAGGCACTGAAATACCTAGTTAGCTTGATATTTTATACCCATATTATAGATGAGGAAACCAAGGCTCAGAATGGTGCAATGACTTGCCCAAAGCTTCAGAGCTAAAGAATGGCTGAACTTGAATGATCCCAGGAGCCCTGCCTCCCAGGCCAGTGTTCACCTAGACCGCGCTGCCGCTTGGGACTCCAGGGCCCTGTGCCCCAGCCCTCCAAGACCCCTCCCTCCCTGGCTCCTTACCTGCTCCCTCAGAGCCTCCAGCTTCCTCCTCCTCCTTTCCCGAGTGCAGGCCTGCAGCTTGTGCTCTGACTTCTGGACTGGTTTCCAGTTAGTTGTGGGCGGGTCTCATTTGCATGCGTTTTCAGGCAGCTCCTGGCCAGCTCTCTCTATCTTAGGTTCTCCTCTTTCTTCTGATGACTTTGGACTGCCTGTGCTCACAGGGGCACATTCTGGAAGTTTTGGTTTCATCTCCCTCCTATGAGTCACTCTTGCTTTTTCTCAAAGGGGGGTTGAAGGCCACTCATCTTGCAGGCCTCTGTTCTGTATGGGGTTGGTCGACTGCCATTTCTGATTGCACTTGGCCCCCTATGTGCTGATGGCCTTGACAGGAAGATGGGGTATCTCTGGCACCACTTCTGCTGTTTAGCTCAGGTAGACACGTCCCTACTCTGAGCCCCTACCACCAAAATGCAAAGGACTCTTGCAAAATACTATGAAGAAAGCAAATAGAAGAAAGCAAATAGTCCAACAGAGAGGCAGCCAGGGAGAGGAATTGAAGCATAGCGCGAAGAGCCTGGGTTCTTAGTCAAATCAGACTTCTAGGTCAGAGTCAAGTTCTTGCTCAGAATCCAGACTCTACTTGCTAGTGTTGTGTATAGGCTTAACATGATTTCAAACCCACTAATTTATCCCTTAAGTGAAGTTGTTTTAATCCACTTGTTAGTGACAAAGAAAAAAATTGCTTTTGTTACAAGAATGAAATAAGTCATGCCAAGATGTCATCTTCCTACATCTGCTGTTGATTAGCAATCACGTCAGCTGACAGGCCCTGCTGGGGGCTGGCTTATCGATAAGTACATGGGAGAAGCAACCGTGGCAAGGGGACAGTTAGACTATAAATACTGAGAGTTTGTGAGGACTATTTGATACTTTTGGTTTGGGCAAGGGAACTCTCCTCTAACCCTAAAAACTCTGCGAAGACCCTTGGGGCATTCGCTCCCATCTTGGCAAGGCATTCCTGGAAGACTGATGATAAAGACTGTGATGATAAACAGAGCAGGGGTCCAGGAAAGAGATCAGCCTGCCCACCAACACTGGCATCTTTGTTCCCTAGCAACGTGCTTTAGCCACAGGGAACTTTTGTTCTGGCAGCTGGAAATCAGCTCTTTGGTTGGTCACTGACTCTCCTACTTGTATAAAATGGTACACCTATTAAATTTGGACTTTATTCCTTCACCTACCCCTTGCCTGGAACAATAGTGTGATTAATCTGTCATTTTTTGGGAGTATGTTATTTCTTTATTCAGCTTAAGAGATATCCTGTATGCTATTGGCTTATGAAGTTATAATTCCCACAGTGAATCTGTGCTGAATAAATTGCTGGCAAAGACAGAAACCAGTCTGCGTATAACTTTTACTGCCTTCCTCAAACAAAACAAAACAATTAGCACGCCTATATAACGAGGTCTCCATAAAAACTCAAAAGGATGGGGTTCAGAGAGCTTCCGGGTTGATGAACACATGGCAGTGTCAGGAGAACGCCGTGGGTGGAGAGGGCATGGCGGTTCCGCGCCTCTTCCCACGTACCCGCCCTGGGTGTCTCTTCCACCTGGCTGTCCTTCTGTATCCTTTATAATAAGCTGGTAAACATAAATAAATGTTTCTCTGAGTTCTGGGAGCTACTCTAGCAAATTAATCAAGCCCAAGGAGGGAGTGGTGGGGACCTCTGATCTCAGCCAGTGGGTCAGAAGCACAGGTGACACCCTGCACTTGCAATTGGTGTCTGAAGTGTGTGGGGGGAAGAGGCAGTCTTGTGAAACTGAACCCTTAACCTGTGGGGTCTGATGCCATCTCCAGGCAGGTTGTGTCAAAATTGAGTTAAATTGTAGGACGCCCCGTTGGTGTTGAAGGATTACTTGGTGGTGTCGAAAATTACACACACCTTGGAATTGGTGTCAGAATCAGAATATGCCTATATCTTTTGTTAGGATGTTCATCGCAGTTTTATTTTAACCGCATATGACTGAAAAAAATGTAAAAGCTCAACTGTAGCACATCCATTAAGTGGCAAACTACATAGTCATTTAAACTGATGTATAGAAGAATTTTTATTGACTTGCGAAAATGTCACAATAGATTGTAAATGGGGGGATGCAGTTTACAAAATGGTATATGTAGTATGGGGCAGATGTTGTAAAACAAGACTGAAAGGCCATGAAGCAAATGTTACAGCAGTTATCTCTGGGTGTTGGGCTTACTGGTGTTGCCATTTTCTTCTTATCTATATTTTCTAAATTTCCATTAATACTCATAAATATGTACTACTTTTGTAGTAGGAAAATTTACTTGGAAAGTATGTAAATCTGAGTTTCTGCAACCAGGAAATCCAGAACTTGAAAAGAAAAGCAGGGTGTATAAGAAATCAGTCAGGGCATTGCAAGCATTGGTATAAAAATAAAATAAACCTGGCCCTTTCCGGGTCACTAATTGTCTAGTGAGCAAATGCATTATCATCCTGTCTGTGGGTGATGGGGGCTAGGGAGTACCTTGCAAACAGTGGAAAATTTTTCTGGGAAGATACCCAGAAGAGACAGTGGGTCATCTAAGGAATTTGAGAGTTGAATTAATTTAGTTCATGCTTGGGGGCTGAGATCAGACAGCCAAAAAAGCACCTCATCTAAGCAGTACCCTGGAACCGGGTGAGTAAAGAGTCATGAGGCTTGGTGGAGCCTAGCCAAGGTCTGGAGTGGAGGGGCAGGGTAGTTGAACCCATCTGGGGCGGAAGAGGCAGCCGAAGTCAGTGGAGGATGGAGAAAAGGCCATGAGGAGTCAGGTTTTGGTCAGGTGATGATCAATGTTTTAGCAAGCACTCCCTCCAAGGGCAAGGGGCAACTCTCCCTGTGGGGCACCACACTCCTTACTCAGAACCTTGTTTTAGGCCTTTCCAGAGTGAAGGACGGTCCCAGCAGCACAGGCATCACCTGGAGAGTATTAGGTGTGCAGAACCTCAGGCCCACCACTCCAGGCCCACAGAGTCAGAATTTGCATTTTTACAAGATCCCTAGAAGATGTGGAAACACATTAAAATGTGAAGAGCACTTATAGTTATCAAAACAGCATGGTACTGGCATAAAACAGACTCATAGATCAATGGAACAGAATAGAGAACCCAGAAATAAACCCACGCCTATATGGTCATTTAATTTACGACAAAGGAGGCGTGAATATACAGTGGGATAAAGACAGTCTATTCAATAAATGGTGCTGAGAAAGCTGGACAGATAAATGCAAAAACAATAAACAAAAAACTAGACCACCTTCTTACACCATATACAAGAATAAACTCAAAATGGATCAAAAAGACTTAAATGTAAGACCCAAAACCGTAAAACTGCTAAAGAAAACATAGGCAGTAAACTCTCTAACATTGCTCTTAGTGATATTTTTTCTGATCTATTTCCTTGGGCAAGGGAAACAAAAAAAGAAAGTAAACAAATGGGATTACATCAAACTAAAAACTTTTCGTACAACAAAAGAAACCATCAACAAAACAAAAAGACAGATTACTGAATGGGAGAAGATATTCACCAATGATACATTTGATAAGGGGTTAAAATAAAAAATTTATAAAGAACTCATACAACGCAACACCAAAAAAACCAAACAATCCAATTAAAAAATGGGCAGAGGACCTGAATAAACATTTCTCCAAGAGGACATACACATGACCAATAGACATATGAAAAGATGCTCAACGTCACTAATCATCAGAGAAATGCAAATTAAAACCACAATGAGATACTACCTCACTCCTGTTAGAATGGCTGTCATCAATACATCAACTAACATGTGTTGACAAGGATGCAGAGAAAAGGGAATACTTATACACTGTTGGTGGGATTGCAAATTGGTGCAGCACTATGGAAAGCAGTTTGGAGGTTCCTCAAAAAATTAAAAATAGAACTACCTTATGATCCAGCAATTCCTCCTGGGTATTTACCCAAAGAAATCCAAAACACATATTCGAAAAGATACATACAGCCCTATGTTCACTGAAGCGCTATTTACAATAGTCAAGATATGGAAACAACTGAAATGCCCATCAATAGACGACTGGATACAGAAACTGTGGTAGATTATACAATGGAATATTACCCTGCCATAAAAAAGAATGAAATCTTACCATTTGTGACAACATGAATGGACCTAGAGGGTATTATGCTAAGTGAAATAAGTCAGGCTGAGAAAGATAAATGCCATATGATTTCACTTACATGTTGAATCTAAAGAATAAAATAAACAAAACAGAAACAGACTCATAGATTCAGAGAACAAACTGATGGTTGCCAGATGGGAGAGGGGCTTGGGGACTGGGTGAGAAAAAGTGAAGGGATTAAGAAATAAAATTGGTAGTACAAAATAGGGGGATGTAAAGTACAACATAGAGAATATAGTCAATAATGTTGCAATAACTATGTATAGTGCCAGGTAGGTACTAGTCTAATTGGGCAGATCACTGCATAAATTGTATAAATGTCTAATCATTATGCTGTACACCTGAAACTAATATAAAATAATATTGAATGTCAACTGTAACTGAAAAGTAAATAACTTTTTTTTTAAAGATTTTATTGGGGAATTGGGGGAAGGCAACAGTGTTGGGGAATTGGGGAAGGGTAACAGACAAGTTGCTGTCCTTTTGTTCTTCACTCTAGTTGTGGAGGATGTCGCTTCATTGGCCCATGTTTGTATTATCATTGTGCTCTTCCCAGGTGAGGCAGTTGCTTGCTGGCCATTGGAAGGCCGCTCACGGCGGCTTACGGCAGCTCACGAAAGCTCATGCCCACTGCCGGCCAGCCCCACTGCAGCCTATGCTGTTGCCGGTGACTCACGGCAGCCCAGCTCCAGGTCGAGCTGTTGTTCACCATCTTAGCTGTAGAGGGCGCAGCGTCACTGGCCCTCATGTGGGATCCGAACCAGGGCCCTGCTGCTCAGAGCTGACATCCTAAGCCAACTCCTAACCAATGTACCACTCGGCTGGCCCGTAAATAACTTTTTTTAAATGTGAGGAGCACCGATTTA